CGCGCGCCGAAAAAACGCGATTGGCCAAAGCAGATTCGTTGCAGTGCTTTGGGAGAGCTCGGAAAATCAATTTGGTCGACCTACAAAAAAGGTCGACAAAATTTTCGCAATTTTATTGAAAATCTGCCCCCCCTCGAAAAAATCCTATATCCGCCCCTGGTTGTACCAAAGAAATCTCCAACTCTTTAGAAATAAATAAATAAGCTGAACAGATGCTCGTTGTTTGATTTGCAATCATTAAAAAATGCATTCAAACAGAATCAGAAATCCACAACTAGTGTACTTAGTGATATACGCGTATCAATTTTAAATTTTTTTTCGCAGATGAGCAAAAATAAGGGGCAAAAGAAGTTTTATAAAGTTTTTTATTAACGAAGCAAAAGTTGACTTTTCTTGGTAGAAACTGGAACCATTTCAAACAAGATTTTATTATATACTTTGAGATTTATCACTGTAAAATATTTAGAACTAACCAATCAGGATCCATGGCTAAAACTTATAATAATTTGTAAAGCTGAAACTATTTATAGTTTCAGACAGAGAAGAATAAATTTAACTTAGAAAGCAGTTGCCCTTCCTCTCTTCTAACCTCACAAGAATACCAGTAAATACTAGATCTATTGAGACTAGGAAATATAAAATCAAGATTAGGATCGGTATTAGGATCGTTATCGAAGTTGCATGACCTATCCGGCCGAAAAATAGGATAGCGGTGTGCCCTATAACTTTATGAGCAGGCCACCCCGGAAATAAACTCAAAGCAGTTGAAAAAAAAAAAAAATTGAAAGCTTTGAAAGTTATCAAGATTAACTTTCCAAAAGTTGCACCCGTAAATGTACACTTGCAATCAGTCCAAAGACTCAAAATCAAAAAGTCGATTTGAGCAGTTAGACAAGACTGCTCGTATATCAGCGCAGAGTCCTGAATACTCCGACATCACTTAGGTCTAATTGAAAAGTTTTGTTTTTGGTTGTCAAACCAGTTGAGAAAAAAGAAGATTTTTTTTTCATTTTTTGTGCATTTTATCCCCCCACAGGCTATGTAAAGTACTAAGGGTATGTTTAGCGCCTCGTATTGTAAAAATGAGAATCAAATGCTGGCATCAATTTAATTTGGAACGCATTAATTTGGTTCTTACGCGTGTTACAAACAAGCAATATATCGCACTTTAATTATCTCAAATTGGTCAAATTAACAATTTTTAAACGCCCGTTACTTTACAAAAAACGCTAATAGATTAAATATAATTTTTTAAATTTGCGTTTAGAACAGCAATATATCTCAATTTGTATTAGAAAAAAGTTTGTCAAAAACGCTTAATTAACAGGTCGAAAATTGACTGAAAAAAAAACCCCATCAAGCATAAATATTCCGAAATTTCTTCTAAAGCCGGAACAACAAGAGCCTAGAAAAAACTGCTGAGTAAACTTAAAAGCGAATGAACCAGAAGTATAAGCCAGCCAAAAATTCACAGAGCTTGTAAATCTTGCCGAAAGTTATGTAGCAGGCCAGCCGAAAGATAAGTTATTTGCTCAAAAATTGCATGACCATTGTAACAACAGTTTTTTTGTTGTTATCTAAATATTATATAAAGATTACTTATTTTTGGCTGTTTTGTATGCTAGCTGGCTTACACTTTGGCTGGCTTATGTTAAACTTTGGCGAGTATTTACCTAATTTTTATTCACTAAGCACAAACTGATCAGGATCATACTTCATACACTCTCCTAATAGTGTGTGTGTGTGAGTGTGTGCGTGTATGTGTGTGTGTGTGTGTGGGGGGGGGGGGGGGGGAGGGAATAAGCTGATGGGGAAGGCCTGAGAACCGCAGTCTATTTTTTACAAAGTTATGGGAGTTTCAAAAACGTCAATTTGATCAAATTGGGATGAATCACGAGCGAGATAAATCAGAATTTGAACTAAATGGAACTGAGACATACTAAATGTTCAAATTTTAGTTTTAATATCTGCTGAGTAAACCGCTCTGTACTTTGAGAACCGTGTATTTAAAAATGTTCTTCATTCCTTATACTGAATTGAACACCATAGATGGTAAAGGGCCTTCAGAAGTTTCAGGACGTTGCCTCGATACGAGCAGTCTTGTTTAAATGCTCCTATTCAACAATTTCTTACGCACATGGAAACGCTACATGAACGAGGCTTGTATATCAGGGTAAAGTTGTGGTAGTTGTTATGCGTCGTGATGGGATAATCCACGACGCATATAGATTTTGGGTTATGTTTTTGGCATCTTAACTAAAATTTTCAATGCTGGCATAACAAGCTAAAAGAATTGCCAAATTGCTAGTCTTGACCCAAAATTGAATCAAAAGGATTGCAGTTGAAGTATCATTTTACATATGTGTTCAGGGAGTTAATAAGTCAACATATTTTTTTTCTCTTTTCGAAAAAAATGTGGATTTTTGATGCTTTGAATGGGTTTTTTCTCAAACATTTTAACATTTTACGACTTGATGGCTATGCGTTCCTTTGACAAAACTTTTTTCCACCATCTGACAAATTTTGTTGCGCGGAGCTCAAAAAAAAATTTTGTACCCAATTTTGGATACAATAACGTATTTTGGATACAACAGATGTATTGCAGTGGCGGATCAAATTGTTCTTAATGGAATTGAGACGAGTCATTTGGTCGTATTATGAAGATGCAAGACGTTAACTGCATCACTTTATAATCAACATAGCCTGTGGGGGTTTGCAATGATGTACGAGCAGTAATTTTTATGATTACCGACAATTTATTTTGGGTGCTTGCGGATCTTTTTGTAAAATTAAGAAAAAACACAAACAATAAGTCGCAAACAAGACTACTCGTAAGCCAAGCTACCCCTGAACTGGTATTGAATAGTTATTGTTATAGAAAGTATGAAACAAGATTGCTCGTATATCAAGGCGCAGCCTTGAAAGTTCCGAGTGCTTTTTAACTTGTCATGAATACTTTTTGGAAAGGGAAATATTGACTACATTTAGAATTAAAACGATCTTTTAGCTTGCCTCAATTCAATTGGGAACAAATTTGTAGTGCTGGTTAATTAGTTTTAAACAGGCAGTATAATTAGACTCAGTTGAGAGCTGCCGGAGAGCAAGGTTACTATAGTGGAGTGCACGCCCCTTCAGGATTGAAATCAATAACCATCTGCGAAAATTTGAGTAGCACAAAAATAACACGAAGAATGCATCAATTCAATTTGGAACGATTTTGTAGTTTTTGTTCAGACTTTCGATACGAAAGTAACGGAATATTTGTGCTCGGGGTGGGTTTTTTTTTCTTCTTCAGACAAATTTCGACTTTTTAACTACCATTTTTGACGGAATTTTTTTTATCATTCAAAAGGTAGTGTTGTCCCGAGCTAAAATTTGGAAAGATATTCTACCTGTGATCATTTTTTGTAAATTTAGGGGGGGTTAAAGATTGCCATGTTGGCCAATTTGGGACAATTAACGCGCGATAAATTTCGCGCTAATAACGCGTAAGCGAAGATTTAATCCGTCTTAGAAATTGTTCCAAATTGGTTCAAGGAAGCTTATTTGCCATAGCTGATTAGTTAATATGAGCGAAATCCTTTGTACTTTATATGGCGTATGGGGGGATGACTTCATAAAAATTTTAAATTTTAGAATTTTATTTCTCATTTCAATTTAATACTTTTAATTTTTTAATGTTACTACTGCTCCATAAATCTTAAAAGGCAGTCGAAACATCAGGGCTTCGCCCTGATACGAGCTGTCTTTTCTATATTTTGCCGCGTACAAATAACTCGCGTTACACTTTCAACATCATTAATGAAATCCTTAACAGTGCGTATAAATTAGTTCAAAATATGGCCAATTCGGCATTTTTCAACCTCCCAAAAAACTTACAAAACTTGATTGAAAGTAAGATATATTTTTTTAAAAATTGAACGCAGGGAGTCGATTTTTTCAATGGGATATTAAACAACTTCGAAGGTTACCCCTTTCAAGAAAGGGAGTAACAGTTAAATAAATCAAGTTACTCGAATTTTTTACCAATAAAAAAAATTTGCCCGTCTACCCGTCTTTGAAAATTGGATTAAATGCTTAAATCTGATTGAAAATTACTCCCAGCGAATTACAATCTAGATTTGCAATGAAATTAGAAGCTCAACTACTACTATATCATAATGTTGGGCCGTATAAAAGAAAAAATCCTATAAAAGAAAAAATCCTAAAAGTCACATAAAAGTCCTCAAAAAAGCAGAGCGTTTTCATCTGCATATTTTCTCTGAAATAGTTCAGTTCAAAATTTTCAACAGATCTTACATGGATGTTCAGAAGCTGCAAGAAAAATTAAAAAGAACAAGGAAATGTTGTATATTTTGAGAATAATTTCAACGTTACCATATTTTTATTTTCCTAGTCTTCTTGCATCAGACTGGTAAGCTCAAAAAACAACGTACAATATGAGCTGTGGCAATGTTATTGTTCCGACTTTTGTAACGAAAGTAACGGAAAATTTGTGCTCGGGTGTTTTTTTGTGACCTTTTAACTAGACATTTTTGACGATTTTTTTAAAAAATATCATTCAAAATGTATTGTCGTCCTAAGCTTAAATTTGAAAAAATATTTCAACGCACGATATATTTTGTTCTATTAATGCGCGAGCGGAGATTTAATAAATCTTATAAATTGTTACAATTTGGTAGAAAAAAAACTTTCATTTGCCATGATTGATTTGATGCTAGCAGCAGAAAATATCTTTTTGTACTTTGTATGGCGTGTGGGGGTATGATTATCACAAAAAATTTCAAATTAAATTTTTTTTTATTTTATTACATTCTTTTTTTGATGTTTTTACTGCTCCATAGACGTTCAAAAGCAGTCGGAACATTCAAGATTTCGCCCTGATACAAGCCGGCTTGTTGCATTTAATATTCCGCATGTATCTTGGGGCATAAAACCGTGTTTAATTTAAACGCACTTGAGAATTGTGACTATATTTTTAACATAAACATTCAACTCACTCCGTTGCCTGGTCGTCGATCCTTGTTCGTTTTAGTGGACTTGCTCTTCTTAAGCATAACTGATTACCGTATGTGAGCTCTAAATTTAGAAGTAAAAAGCAACTTGCTGTAAAACAAATAAACGCACGTCGAACGAACCATATATTCAAATTTAATTACGCTGAATGGTATATGATTGAGTATATGAGAAGTAACAATGTGATTTATCTGAATCATAATCTAATTAGAAAAAAAAACGTCCGATACTTTTCTATTCTGCTTCTCAGCATTTTTCTGACACACAAAATGTAATACCATGAATACTTTTCTGATGCTTTTCTATTCTGCTTCTCAGCATTTTTTCTGACACACAAAATGTAACACCATGAATACTTTTCTGATGCTTTTCTATTCTGCTTCTCATTTTTTTTCTGATACACAAAGAGTAATACTATTAAAAATTGAGCTTTAGTTTTTCTAATTAAAAAAATGGCTGAAAAATCAAATATGATTTTCAACGAAATTTGATCAAACTTACTAACTACTTCAACAAACGGAGGGAGGAGTCAAAATAAATTAATTTTGGTTCTAAGCAGGGGCGGATGGTGAAATTTTCTTGAGATGTGCTGATTGAGAAAATTTGGCAAAAACATTGATTTATATACAATACCAGAATAAACTAAATAAGGCAAAATTGAGTCTTTGGTTGTTTGCGGCAATTCTGTCATTGACATCCTCGGCTTTGATCTCCATATCTTTGTGGATCTAAATCAGCGCAAAACTTAAGAGTCGATTGACCTTCATATTAGAGCGAGGTAACTTTTTATGTATTTTTAGGCTCGAAAAAGAGCGCTCAGCAGTGCATGCAATCACTCTGAGGGCACTTCTGAAATTTTCTGGCGTATCAGTGCTCAGGGGCAAGTGCCACATGTTTTTTTTAAATTTCAGGGGCAAGTGCCACATTTCCAGTCACCATCTGGATGTACGCCTTCGTATAACTGGACCAAGTCATCAAAATCTTCCTTCTTTGCATCTTTCTCAGTTGTCCAACGGGGCAGCAGCTTGCACTGATATCCAATTGGTATCTTTCCAGGTGTTGGTGACAAGTGTTTGCTTTTCTTGATTCCCTGTTTCATCACAATTTTAAATGGCCAAACCTGCAGGCAATTTGTTGGGTTTGCCAGTAGCTCAAACTTGATGTCACTGTCGATCTCCAGTGAGCTGGACTTGTAGATTCCGACGTCAGTGTAGGATGGAGAATGTAGAGTTTCTTCAGAGAGCAGTGGTACAGAACAAATTTATGAAAAAATTTCACAATTTATAATGGTTAAAGGAGCCAATGGCTCGAGCGTTGAAGGTCCATTCCTGGGCGTCGAAAGAGTTGAATATCCTAGGATTGTCAAACCCAGTAGTGAATGCACTGGATGAGGGTGGTGACTTAATGGGTACACTGGCGAAGAAGGCCCTGAGCTTTTTGAAGACAGAATCAGTTCGCTTTGACATCTGGAAGATTGAAGTTGAAGTCCAAGGTCCAGTCCAGAATGCAGTGTGAATTCCAATGTCGACGATTTTAAAAAGAGCACTGTACTTTTGAACGGAGTATATATACTGAGAATGAGGCCGACTGACAGGTACCTGTTAGCAGGTACCTGCCTCAACTCATAGAATAACTAAAAAAACACGCAGTTTCACACCTTTTACACCTCAAAAATTCTCTCAAGGAACAAAGACAGCGGCAAAAAAATTCAAGTGAAATGCGCGAAGAGGGACCCATTGGTATTTGTTATGGTCAGATTCTTCAGAGAAGATGCGTCTCCATGGCCCTCCCCCTTAATCCGCCCCTGGTTCTAGGTGTTCTGAAAATCAGAATTTAACCATGAATTGTGCTTAACCAAGTGATTGCAAATTAAAACCATTCCGCTCCTTATTCCACGCAAAAAACTCAATGTTAACTCTGGAACTCTGCTTGAGGTGATCCAATAACAGCTCCATTCAGCAAATCGACCAAATTCGATTCATGAATCGATCAAGTTCGATGCATGAGTCAACCAAGCTCAATACGCGAGTCGACCAAATTCGATACATGAGTCGACCAAGTTCAATAAATGAGTCGACCAAAATCGAACCATGAGTCGACCAAGTTCGAAACATAAGTCGACCAAGATCGATACAAGAGTCAACCAAGTTTGATACATGAATTGACCAAGTTCAAAACATGAGTTGACCAAGATCGATACACGAGTCGACCCGGTTCGAGACATGGGTCGACGGAGTTCAAAACATGAGTCGACTAAGTTCGATACACGAGTCGACCAAGATCGATACATGATTCGACCAAGTTCGACAATGGAGTCAACCAAGCTCGATACACGAGTCGCGCAAGTGCGATGCACGAATCGAGCAAGTTCGATACATGGGTCGACGGAGTTCGAAGCATGATTTGACCGAGAGCGATGCACAAGCCGACCAAGTTCGAAACATGAGTCGACCAAGTTCGAAACATAAGTCGACCAAGATCGATACACGAGTCGACCAAGTTCAATACAAAAATTGAACAAGTTCGAAACATGAGTTGACCAAGCTCGTTACACGAGTCGACAAAGTTTGGTTAATGAGTCGACCAAGTTCGAAACATAAATCGACCAAGATCGATACACGAGTCGACCAAGTTCAATACAAAAATTGAACAAGTTCGAAACATGAGCTGACCAAGCTCGATACACGATTCGACCAAGTTCAATACATGAGTCGACCAAGTTCGATGCATGAGTCAACCAAGTTCAAAACATGAGTCGACCAAGTTCGATACACGAGTCGACCAATTTCGATAAAGGAGTCGACCAAGTTCGAATTAGGAGTCGAACAAGATCGATACACGAGTCGACCCAGTTCGATACATGGGTCGACGGAGTTCGAAACATGATTTGACCAAGCGCGATACACAAGTCGACCCAGTTCAATACAAAAATTGAACAAGTTCGAAACATGAGTTGACCAAGCTCGTTACACGAGTCGACAAAGTTTGATTCTTGAGTCGATCAAGCTCGAAACATGAGTCGACCAAGCTCGATACACGAGTCCATCAAGTTCAATACATGAGTCGACCAAAATCGATAATGGAGTCAACCAAGCTCGATACACGAGTCGCCCAAGTTCGATACATGGGTCGACGGAGTTCGAAGCATGATTTGACCAAGAGCGATACACAAGTCGACCACGTTCGATATACGAGTAGAAAAAGCTCGATGCACGAGTCAACCAAATTCAAAACAGGAGTCGACCAAGTTTGATACATGAGTCGACCAAGTTCGAAACATGAGTCGACCAAGTTCGAAACATAAGTCGACCAAGATCGATACAAGAGTCAACCAAGTTCGATACATAAATTGTAGAAGTTCTAAACATGAATTGACCAAAATCCTTACACGAGTCGACAAAGTTTGATTCATGAGTCGATCAAGCTCGAAATATGAGTCGACCAGGCTCGATACACGAGTCGACCAAGTTCAATATATGAGGCGACCAAGTTCGATAGTGGAGTCAACCAAGCTCGATACACGAGTCGCGCAAGTTCGATACATGGGTCGACGGAGTTCGAAGCATGATTTGACCAATAGCTATACACAAGTCGACCAAGTTCGATACACGAGTCGAAAAAGCTCGATGCATGAGTCAACCAAGTTCACAACATGAGTCGAACAAGTTCGATGCACGAGTCGACCAAGTCGATAAGGAAGTCGACCAAGTTCGAATTAGGAGTCGAACAAGCTCGATACACGAGTAGACCCAGTACGATACATGAGTCGACGGAGTTCGAAACATGATTTGACCAAGCGCGATACACAAGTCGACCAAGTTCGAAAAATGATTTAACCAAGCGCGTTACACGAATCAACCAGGTTCGATATATGAGTCGACCAAGCTCGATAATTGAGTCGACCAAGCTCGATACACGAAAGACAAAGTACGATACATGAGTCGACGGAGTTCGAAACCTGATTTGACCAAGCGCGATACACAAGTCGACCAAGTTCGACATATGAGTCGACCAAGTTCGAAATTTAAGTCGACCAAGACCGATGCACGATTCGACCAAGTTCAATACAAAAGTTCACCAAGTTCGAAACATGCATTAACTATGATCGTTACACGAGTTGACCAAGTTCGATACATGAGTCGATCATGTTCGATAATTGAGTCGACCAAGCTCGATACACGAGTCCACAGAGTGTGATGCTTGAGTCGAACAAGTTCGAAACATGATTCGACCAAGCTGGATACACGAGTCGACCAACTTCGATACTTGAGTCGACCAAGTTCGATAATTGAGTCAACCAAGCTCGATACACGAGTCAACCAGGTTCGTTACATGAGTCGATCAAGTTCGGTAATTGACTCGACCAAGCTCGATACACGAGTCCACAAAGTTCGATGCATGAGTCGAACAAGTACGAAACATTAGTCGATCAAGCTCGATACACGAGTCGACCAAATTCGATACATGAGTCGACCAAGTTCGATAATTGAGTCAACCAAGCTCAACACACGAGTCGCGCAAGTTCGATACAAGAGTCGACCAAGTTCGAAACATGATTCGACCAAGCTCGATACACGAGTCGACCAAGTTCGGTACATGGGTTGATCAAGTTCAAAACATGAATCGACCAAGAACTCGATACACAAGTCGACCAAGCTCGATAAATGAGTCGACCGATTTCGTTGCTTGAGTCGACCAAGATCGTTAAGTGAGTCGACCCGTTTCGTTAAATGAGTCGAACAAGTTCGAATTATAGGTCAGCCAAGATCGTTGTACAAGCCGATCAGGTTCGATACATGAGTCGATCAAGCTCGATACACGAGTCGAGCAAGCTCGTTAGATGAGTCGACCAAGTTCAATAAATGAGTCGACCAAGTTCGAAACAAAAGTCGACCAAGATCGATACACGAGTCGATCATGTTCGATACAGAAGTTGACCAAGTTCGAAACATGCAATGACCAAGATCGTTACACGAGTCGACCAGGTTCGTTACATGAGTCGATCAAGTTCGGTAATTGAGTCGACCAAGCTCGATACACGAGTCCACAAAGTTCGATGCATGAGTCGAACAAGTACGAAACACTAGTCGATCAAGCTCGATACACGAGTCGACCAAATTCGATACATG